CACCTCTGGACATGGGAGTCTCCTAATGACATGACTCAAGCGGAGATCGACCACATTCTGACAAACAGAAGATGGTGCCTACTTGACACATTGGTAGTCCCTTCATTCTGTGCTGGTTCCGATCACCGCCTTATTCGCGTGAAGATTCGATTCAGCCTTAAGCTGGAAAGGAATTCTCTTCGTCGACCATGAGGAAAAAGTCAAGCTGTATAGGACGAGAACATTCTAAACGAAGTACTGTCCAAACGTGACTGGCAGATTAAAGAAGACCTTACCGAAAACTACGAGTTGCTCGTCGAAGGACTGAAAAGCTGTGCCGAACTCGCCTCAGTTCCTCAAGCAAGAATACCGGATCACATCGCCATCAATACCAATAAGTTGCTCGAAAAGAGAAAGAAACTGAAGCTTGATCCTACTGCAACACGTTCAACACGGCTTACGTATCCGGCTTTGGTGAACAGAAAATGTTCAAATAGGTACAGAAAAAAGGAAAGGTCCATGACAATAATAATAAATGCCAGCTGCAGAAGAGCTTTGCAGGAAGATCTACATCAGTACAAGCAGAAGGCACTACTGGAAGCAGTCTGAAAAAATGTCGTCGGCACTTCAGTGATTATAATGTTCTGCTGTCACCCCTGATGAGCGAAGATGGGATCAATCTTTTACTTCTTATTTTCTGCCTACTAGAGCTTTCACGGCAGGATACTACGCGAAATACAACCACAACGTTGCTGAGATATTTGCAAAATTCTGGACGCTGTAAGCTATCTTAACCTTTTGAGTTACTACCTATTCTTTTTAACGGCAGGGTTTGTTGCGAAATATAATTTCTATAATGCTGAGATATTTGCAAAACTCCGGACCGCAGGTGCCTATGGTGGGGAACGAACGCGCTATAGTCCTTTACGCGGAGTAACGCGTTCCCCACCATACCATGCGGACGATTCGTTTCGCCTGTCTTTTACCTGGTTCTATTGATCACCACGCGTTAGCTCAACGGGAATGTCGAGTGTTATTTGCCCAGTGTCGAAGTTAACAGAGTTTCTGTCGTGGGAATTAATACAAGACGTGCCAGCAAGATCATAATAGCTTTGATTGGAGTTCACTTTTATGTTATTCTTCTTTTTGCTCTTCCAGATGGAAGTAGTAGGTAATGTTGATAGTGGGCGACGTTCTAGAAATGAGCTTTTCTTCATTTCAATTCGAAATATGTTGGGAAATAGCACATTAAAAGTTTGACCAAGCAAGATTGAGCATTCATGATTATATTATGATCCTTGATGCTGGTTTAGTCAAATTTACATTGTTTAGACGAAAGTTTTCTCCACCTGGTAATCCTGTACTTTTTGTCCTGTCTCTTTTATTACTGTAGTTTAATTGGTACTTTAATGTTGCGTATGACTGTGATTAAAGGAGAATATCACCTTTGTAGAGTACTGTCACAATAAGGCATTTCATAGAAACTTGTCAACTGAACACTTTATTCTTATGAATTGATCTTGTTGAGCTGATTCGAGGTTAATGTAAGTTGTCGTTGATGTTTTTGTGGTTTTTTTCTGTTGTTATTGTTGTCGTCATTGTTGTTGTTGTTGTTGTTGCTGCTGCTGCTGGTCGATGGCTGTCGTTTCGGCGATATTGCCCTCCTCAGAGCTTTACCGTTACGAGTGGAGATCAGCAGCAACAACGACAACAGCAACAACGACAACTTATACGAACCTCGCATCGGCTCAACAAGATCAATTCATAAGAACATGTAGGTAAATGAATCGATTATTTTTGCTGAGGTTAAAAGATAGTTGGTCTTTTGAGTTATTAAGAGATGAATACTTTGTTTTTCAGGAGAGATCGCATGTCGTGTAATCAAGACTGCTCGTGCGATTGGAATCAAGACCGTAGCTGTTCATTCGGATGTCGATTCTGGTTCACTACACGTCAAAATGGCTGATGAAGCAGTTTGTGTCGGAGCAGCACCGACCAGTGAGTCGTATCTTCGAGCCGACAGAATTCTAGAAGCTGTTAAACAGACTGGAGCACAAGCAGTAAGTACAACAGTCATTTTTCGTCCGCTTTATTTGGTTTCTATGATGTTTTCGTAGAGTTTATTGCCATAGGTTCACCCTGGCTATGGTTTCCTTTCGGAGAATACGAAATTTGCTGCTGAACTCGAACAGGCCGGAGCAGTTTTCATCGGTCCAAACTCTAAAGCAATACTCGATATGGGTGACAAAATTCACTCGAAGAAGATTGCTACAGAAGCCAAGGTCTTAGA